TATCAAAAAATTAGCAGAAATACTAAAATCAAAAAATTCAACTATGGTCGGCACAATGAAAAAGAACAAAAGAGAAATTCCTATATCTTTGAAAAATATTCTTAGTAATCTTTATTCATCGACAATAGTGGAACATGATAATATCACACTTACCATCTGTTAGCTTTAATCTCCGTTATTAATCTCAGGACGGCTAGGGGTAAGTCAGGCTTTCACGTTTCATTCAATCGGGATAATTCTTGCATTTTATAAATGCTTTATTATTACAATAATTATATACATATATACATATCATTAGGGAACATTCTTAACATCAATCCTATTCTCGATTGCTATCGTGCGCCCCCTCTCGGCGGCTTTTCTACAATGCCATCTATCGGCTGATAACATTCGGTCATTCTGACCTGACAATCGTCCCGATTGTTCGGAGTACAAATTTATAATTAATACAATTTTCTACTTCGATTCTTATACACAATACTAAACATACATATTACTAATACACCAAGAAGAATACACATTATTCTAAAATTTTATATGATAATAACTTACTAAAATATTTTCACATACATAAATTCACATATTTTTTGATACATTAGCATAATAATCGAAAATTTTCTGTAAATCATTACTAAATATGTGATATATATGAAATAACTCAATTTTTTTCAGTCCTAAAATGATTCAAAATGCACTAAAGTCTTTCAGCTAATGTTCAAAAGTTCAAAGTCAATTAATGTTCAAAAGTTCAAAGTTTCTAAAGTTTTCTATCAGCAAACATACGTAGATAATCACACACACACACACAAAGGAAAGATCTCACCTTAATCACAGGGTAGAGCACTTCCATCAGTTCTTACGAACAGATCTGATTGGATTAAGCTTGATAACTGGTCAGTATCTTCATCGTCGCCGTCGTCATCATCATCGTCAGAGCTGGGATCGCACCTCCATGGCTTCAGCTGGCTCACATGAGCAGTGGTAGTGAAGTAGCGACCTCGATTCTTCGCTTCTAGTTGAATTATTCTGTAGGTATCGCTAGGTAATATTTCCGTTATTATAAATGGCCCTCGATATTTCGGCTGTGTTTTGGTAGGTTGACCTGTAGCCTTAGGAGCACATCTCATCACAACTATTTCTCCTTGCTCGAATATTAGTGTACGACACCCTCTTCCCATCGAATCTCTTTTTCATTTTCACTTGCTATTCCTCAATTCTTCCTCGCGCTTGCTCTTGGATTTCTCGCGGGTCTTTACATGCATCTGAATCTTCATCTGCTAACTTCCTAAGTATTCCATCATTAAATCTGGGAGAATACCCATGTAGCATTTCAAATGGAGTCTTATTCGTAGTTTTGTTTACCATGTTGTTAAGATTTCTTTCTGTCTCTTTTATTTTTGAATCCCAATCTCTGTGTTGTTTATCCATCAAACTTGTCATTATCGTTCCTAAAAGTGTTCTGTTGACGCGCTCTACCATACCATTGGCTTGGGGGTGTTTGGTATCTTTCTATCTTTTCTGTCTTATCTATCTTTTCTGCTCAAAGTATGATGTATTCCGTTATCTGTACAATACTGCTTAAATTGGTGAGAAGAAAAACAAGATCCTCTATCACTTATTATTCTTTCTGGTAGTCCAAAATCATTAACAAAATTCTTCAAAGACTGTAAAACATTTTTAACATTAGTATTCTTAACTGCAAAAATTCTCACCAACCTAGTCATGTTATCAATTATCACTAATAGTTCTTGATTACCTCTCGAACTCTTTACGAAATGACCCAAGTGATCCATGTGAACAATAGCAAACGGTCTTTTACCAGGTTTTATGGGATGTACGAGTAACAGTCCTTGTTGCTTGCCACCTGTCGCTTTATTCATAAGGCACTCAATACATGCCGATATGTGTCTTCGTACGTATCGTTTCATGCTTGGGAACTAATATAATTCCTTAATTTTGCTAACTGTTCTATCCACAGAAAAGTGACCAAATAAATCATGGAATGTCACCACTACACTCTTCCTCATGCTTTTTGGAATCACATAGAGTAGTTTCTCCTTTCCATCTACTACGGTTTTCCAAAACAGTCTATTCTTCTTAAACACGTAATTCATAATTACTTTTTTTCTCCTCAGCAGTTCGTTCCTCTTGTTTCTCTTGAAAATTTCGATAATTCTTTTCAGGTCTTGGTCAGCATGTTGTATCATTAGTATTTGCTCTTCTTCGGTTGGGGACTGGCAAACTTCAAAATTTTCAGCTATTCTCGTCATCGTGTCATCAGCTTCTGATACAGGACCTCTGCTCAAAGCATCAATATGTGACAGTCTTTTTCATGACCTATGCTTTATCTCAAAATCGTATTCTTGAATCAAACTATACCCAACGGGCTATTTGAGGATTTGTAGTCTTCTTCGCATTTATATATATTAGAGCAGTAATAATTGTAAGTAATAATCAGTCAGTAATAATTGTAAATCTTATGCCGATTAAGAACTGTCTTAACCTGTCCAACGTCCATACGATGGCCATTAACTCCAATTTGCTGGAATGATACTTTCTCTCTGCTTCTGTTGTTTTCTTACTGACGCGATAAACAAGATGCCATTTTCGATCTTCATCACGTTGCATTAGCATTCCACTCAAACCTTCTGCACTTGCATCACAATGGACTTCAGTATCTGCATGCGGTTGATAGTGAGCTAATATGGGCTTATCAGTCAGTTGTTTCTTCAATAGTTCGAACGACTTCTTTTGTTCTTGCTTCCACTCGAAGTTTCGATTCTTCTTTGTCAATCTGGTCAATGGTTCGCTCTTTAACGCATACTTCGGCACAAATCGTCTGAAAAATCCAGTCAGGCCCAAAAAGCTTCGCACTTCGTGCACATTCTTTGGTATGGCTTTTATTTTTCTAGATCCCGGTTTAATACCGTCTTCGTTTATAATAAAACCTAAGAAATCTACTTCTCTTTTCCCAAATTCACATTTAGATAATTTCAAGGTTAAATTTGCTTTTCGTAGGCATTCTAATACTTCCTTTAATTTGAAAATCATCTCTTCCCAAGATTTTGCAGGAATAAGTATATCATCCATATAACACAACACCTTAGTATTCAACAAGGGGCTTAGGACATATAATATTAGGCGTTGAAACTCAGCAGGAGCATTTACTAACCCAAATGTCATCCTTTCGAACTGTCCTGTTTCATCTGGAGTAATGAACGCCGTCTTCAATTTAGCTTCTTCACTTAGGGGTATTTGCAAATAGCCATGGGCTAAATCCAGAGTAGTGAAAATTTTGCATCCTCCTAAACATTCTAAAAGATCATCTATTCGAGGCAAAGGGAACTTATCCTTTATCGTCTGACTGTTAAGTCTGCGGTAATCAATTACTAGTCTGTATTCCCCTGTTTTTTTTTTTTTTCTTTACTAGTAACACTGGACTAGCGTAAGGCGATCTACTTTCGGAAACTGTCCCAATATCTTTTCATTCGTTAACAATTTCTTTTATTGCATTACGTTCAGCTGCATTCGTTTTGTATGGGCGAGAAGACATAGGCCTACTCCCGTCAATTTCTTTGATGTCCATTTTTATTACGTTCGTGCAACCTAATTCATTTAAATTAAGAGCAAAGCAATCCCTAAATTCATTTACTAATTTTAAGATATCAGTTCTTTCACTATCTGTAGTTACCTCATCAAATTTTATATCATCTATCTTTATTTAGTGAATATTTTGAGAAATGGAAAATATATGGTTTTGTTTTTCATCTTTGTTTATATTGGGCTTGTCTACTTCCTCTAATTCCCAATCTTCTGTTATATCTATTACCCTGCTGATACACTGATTTTCTTTTAATCTGATGTTATTGTGTCCTATGTTCATAACTGGGACTGTTACCTTACCATTTGTAACCTCCATTACTGAATCCGGAATTCCATGCTTGCTTTGAAATAAAATCAGTTCATTATTTATATCTGGGGCTACAGAATGCACAAAGTTTATCGTGTTACTTTTTATTTCTATTGGTTTCTCAGAATATAACTTAATGTGTTTACGCTCCGTTTATCAGTTGCGCGAATAGGAATTTTATTAGCATACCATATGTTAAATGAATCCCCTATTTTTCCATAAGCCAACATCTGATCGTTCAAAAGTATCTCTCCCAATAATTAGGTCCATACGGCTGTACTTCATCATTTACGATAAACAAATTCGCGGTTGTTTGTTTGGATTTCGCCGATTCGAAGTGAAACATGAACTTTTCCCAAGGTCGTTGTAGATGCGTGATTTACGCTCCCGATTCCAAACAATTTTTTTTTTGTTTCCGGTTTGCACTGGTAATTACGTAATTTCGAAAAAAGACCGAAAATCTTAATAGACTGACAGCGCTTCCAGTATCAATCAAACATTCGATCTGTTCACTTTCGTTAATTATTGCTTTCTTCAAATACTTTGAAACGTCAGATAATCCATCATGATTCATCGCGACACTATTTTGATCTTTCATTTTGTCATTCTTTATTTCTTCCCGACTCTCTGTCTGACGCGGGAGGCATTTGGCGTCAGAAATCAAGCTAGAATGTTTACGCTTACATGTCGTGCAGCGCTCTTTTGATTTACATAAGCGGACCACGTGAAATTTCTGGAAACATAGAAAACATCTCGCGTTCCGTTTTAAACTTTCTAATTTCTGTTCGCGTTCCTTATCACAGTTTTCAGAACTGTGCTCAGAATTATTGCAAAAAATGCAAATTTTCTGAAATGTGCTCAGTGCGGTTGCGTTAGGAATTGAATTTTGCTGCTTCCCTTTAAACTTCTGAAATCTATTCCCCTTTTCCGAAAATTTATTAACTGACAGTTTATAGTCTATGCTTTTAACTGATTCATTATTTTCCCGCGTTTGTCGAAACAAAAATGTTTGTTCTCGCGTTTCTATTTCTCTTCTAAGAAATTTTAATAATTCTGTTACATTCCAAGAATCGTCTTTTTCATGCTGTCTTTAAAAATCTAGCACAATGGTATCGGGAATAAGTTTGGTTAGTAGTGGAAACAACAAACTGCCATATGAATTCAGTTCGACAGCAAGAGTTTGTAAACCCCGTAGTTGGATTTCTATCGTATCGTATAACTGTTTCAAATACGAAGCTGATTTTACTGCACTTAAATTTAACAAATGGTTAATATGAGATCTGACAATAATTTCTTTTTTCCCGAATCTTTCTTTAAGCAATTCAACTGCTAAATCATAATTATTTTCCGATACCAATAGTCCTTGAATACTAATTAAGTCTGGTCCTTTCAAGAAAGCTTTAAGATAATTATATTTATCTACTTTAGATAAGCGTTCGTTACTGTGAATCGCATTATCAAACTGTGACCGAAATTCCTGAAACTTCTCTAAATTACCCTCAAACGGTTCTACATGAAGTTTCGGCAAATTTATTCTTGGTTTGTCTGGTTCACTATTCGAAATAAGTGAAGAAAACGAAAAATCTCCCTTATTTCTATCTGAATTCTGAAAATAATTCTTAACTTTCGATTTCGCGTAGATTATACGTTCTCTGTATTCTTGATTATTCTCGACTTCTGTTTCCAGATCAGATACTTCAGGAATTAAATTCTCAATTTCTAGATCTAATTTAAATATCTGATCTGCTTTTTCTTGTAGATTCATATCACATTCTTCTAATGATTTTGTATCTACAATATCCTGTTCCAATAGTTCACATATTTTGTTAATTACTTGTGTTGTTAACCTTCTTAAAGTTTTACGTTTCGTTTTTGCTTTATCTAAAGCTTTCTTTGTATTCTCATTCGTAATAATACCTAATAATATAATTCTCTACTTCTAAATTCTGTCAGAATTATTCTACAGTTCGCATGCATTCAAATTTTAAATTTAAAAACGAAAAAACGAAACTACCCCTCTTCGACGTTTCTTGGTACGCGAGTCATTCAATGCGTACTTACATCAATCATCCCACTTCTGAAATGTTAGCTTTAATCTCCGTTATTAATCTCAGGACGGCTAGGGATAAGTCGGGCTTTCACTTTTCATTCAATCGGGATAACTCTTGCATTTTAAAAAAGCTTTATTATTACAATAATTATATACATATATACAGATGATTAGGGAACATTCTTAACATCAATCCTATTCTCTCGCTTCCCGATTCTCGATTGCTATCGTGCACCCCCTATCGGCGGCTTTTCTACAATGCCATCTATCGGCTGATAACACATCTATGAAGGCAAAAGAAACAAAAGCGGTTTTCTACTGAGCTCATTATATTCTACTGTAAAAACTGAAGACAGTCTCAAGAAGTTGCTCGATTCAATAGCATTTTACAATGCAACGAAGTATGGTGTGGATATTCGTGATCAGATCTGCCTAAGTACATAAAAAATATTATTATAAATTGTGTTTTATTTTAGTTAACATTAGTTTTAATTTGTGGAAACATTTATTTGAAATCAAATTAATGAGTTATTTGAGTAGTTGTAGTATGATCCAATTGATCGTCATGTACTCAATACATTTACAGTTTTTAAAAAGGTCAATAAATTATCGTGCGATATTAAATATAAATTATGAAATACATATAAAGCAAATACATATAAAAGCCATACATTGTGCCATACATATAATATACATATAAAAGCCATACATTGTGCCAATGTATGGCATTTAAAATTGTTTTACCGTTGTTATTTTAGTACTTTCATCGAAGGGTTAAAATGATCCCTTACCGCCATTCTAGTGTTAATAGCTTTAGAAACACTCACTATACAATGAAATTAGCCTGTTTGGTTTTATGCTGTTGTTAATCATTTCTTTCCTTACCAGTGTTTTAAGTTTCTAAATAAATTAAACATCTAATTATTTCTTAAATTGAAATTCTTAAATTGTTTTATCTATTTTAATATAACTTAGAGCTTATAAAAGTTACTTCAGTCATCCAAGACTTTTTATTAGTACATTATTTAAATTTAGCTTAGAGAAACTGACTTTTTTAAACATCTCATCCTGAATTGTTAGTATTTATAGTTAAAAAGGGACTTGCAACTTCCTACATCAACTTGGAGAAAAATAAATTAAACTTAATTTTGTTATATTTCAAATTTATAAATTTATAAATTCATAAAAGTGGACATAATGTGCACTACCATATACTGTAAATTTGCAACATCAGTAATAAGAAGTGTTTTTATATTTATTGGTATTCCCCTATGTAAGTGACTTTTTCTTATTTTTAGATCATAATACTATGAAGGAAGATGAAAGGTTAGCATTTGGGCGGCGTACCAAAGCAAACATAAAACGTGGAAAGACTATTCGCATATTTAAAGATGGAACTGAACATTTTGATGATTACTGGACAGATTCTGATGGATCTGATGATACTATTACTACTCTTTCAGGATCGAAATCAAGTAACATACGAGAGAAACTGGATTCTGGTCTTGCTACTGAAAGCAATTCTGGTGATATTAAAAATCAAGGTAGTTCAAAAAAGAAAACTTCTCTTTCTAAGCAATCAGTAAGTGCACCAGATTCAGAAGATGTAGTTTCATCTTCCCTGACTGGATCTAAGCATAGAGCATACTATCAGAAAACTAATTCTCCAACCTCAAAATATTTTCAGTCCAGAAAGGGCAGTGTCATGCAGTCAAGTACAAAAACCAAAAACCATTCTGTTAAGAAATGCTTAGTTGATGACTTTACCAAATTTCCTGAAAATGTTTCACCTCATCATGGTGAAAAATCACTAAGTAACTCACATTCAAATTCTGATAAATTATCCCAAGATGTAGTTTCATCTTCCCTGACTAGATCCAAGCATAGGGCATACTTTCAAAAAATTAATTCTCCAAGCACAAGGCATTTGCAGTTAAAAAAAGACAGTGTCATGCAGCCAGGTACAAAACCCAAGTACCAATCAGTTCAAAAACGCTTAGTTGATGACTTTACCAAACTTTCTGAAAATGTTTCACCTCATCATAGTGAAAAATCACTAAGTAATTCACATTCAGATTCTGAGAAATCATCCCAAGATCTTGCAACATCTGTGACTAGATCTAGACATACAGTTTATGATCAGCAATTTAACACTCCGAGCACAAGGCATAACTTGCGTAAGACTGTTGGGAAATATCCAGTTGATAACTTTAAAGAGTGTCCTGTAACAGTTTCAACTCAATGTCAAACATCCAATCATGAACAAAGTATGTTAACTTCAAATGTTGAAAATCTGTCCAAGTGTTAAGTGTTGATGTCGATCATTGTTTATCAGATTCTGGTCATAATCTGAATGAAAATCCCGTTCAAAGTAGCAGACAGTTGAGCTACAATAAAGAAAAGAGTTTGGATTTAATTAATGCAAAAGAATTAAAAATGCATAGAAAAGTCAAATGGCTTTCTAAAAGCAACGTGAATTCTAAAAAAAGTGTCACCGTAACTCAAAGTACTGCAGTTAGTAGTAAATCCCCTGTACAGTCACCTGAAAATTTTCAATTTAGGAAGAAGAAGAATCCTGCAGTTATAAGGTCTGATACTGAAGATGAGAATTTTGATCAAAACAGCGTCAGAAAAGTTCATAAATTTAAGTCTAAAATTCCAGTAAAGATACCAGCATCACTTTCTAAAGGCACCAACTCATACCACATCACTGGAACGATTTCAATTCAAATAAAATTTCTGAAATTGTTGAAAGAACAGAAATTTTAGAAACAGTGGTAAATAATGAAATTATAAACTCACGTAAAAAAATGGAACAGAAAAATATGCAATCAAGCTTAAATAAAAATTTGAAGAGAAGAAAAGAATTGAATGCGAGTCGTGTCAGCCCCAGAATTTCTGCTCTAAGCAATAACAATAATCTGTTGATTGATGATAATGAAGCAGAAGAGTTGCCAAATAAGAAACAAATAAAAACTACCAAACGAATAAATAAAAATTTATTACATAGAAAAAAGCAGCAAAGAAAATCTTATCCAAGCAGATGTTCAGCTTTATATCCTAGTCATCCTGATGATGCATCAGTACCAGAATTACCTTCACAGAGGGAAAATCTGCATAGTTTTAAAAGTATTGATAAACATACAAATAAAAATTCTGAATCCCAGTGCTCAAAAACTGAGCATAGGTATATTAGTCGATCAGGGCGTGTCCGATATTCTCCATTAGCTTTTTGGAAAAATGAAAGAATTCAGTTTCAGTTTCAGAAAGATGGCAATATTTCCGTTTTAGGTGTAGAAAAATGTTTCCCAGTAAGTGAACAAATGAAAAATAAAGTTAAAAAAACTGTTTCAGAAACACAAAGTGTTAAAGCTTCCATTAGAACTCATGAATTTATTAAAGAAATGGAAAATAAAGATTTACCAATGATAACAGTTTTTAATGCATCAACAGGTAAGGAAACAGAAGCTAATCTAATCAGACCATTTAGTTCTCTTATATGGGAATATCCTCAACATGAAAACCCTGATTATGATGATTATATTATGACCAGGAGTTTTGAATGCTCCAATGTGATTTATGGTTTTATATGCATAAAGCGACATCGTCAGAAGCCTGCACAGTTTACACCCGATGAAGATATCTATTTTAGTGTAATTAAAGGCAAAGTTGAAGTAGAACTTCACACATCGAAATTTGTGCTTAGAAAAGGTGGATCATTCATTGTGCCACGTGGAAATATTTACAGCATAACTAATGTATATAAATCGAATTCAATTCTCATATACTCATATTCTCATATACAACGTTACCTCGCTTTCAATTCCGAACATTTATAGTGAAGAGTAGTTTCTGTATTTATGTCTTAATTATGCTTAAAGTTCTTACATTTCTTGTTAATTCTTCTAATTATTATATATCTCATTCTATGCTTTTAAGTAAAGGTGTATCTGCTTGTCTGTCATGAAATAGCAGATATATCTGAAGTAATGTTTTTTACATCCTTATTTTGTAAAGTGCATTTTAAACTTCATTTTTAAATAAAAAATTTAAAAAGTTATTGTTTACAATACTTTTATTTTTCATTTTAAATTTATTGTTGCAAAATCTGTTTTGACAAGTTACTTGTAGTTTGGTAATGCTAATTAAAATGTAATTTTTAATCAGACAAAAGATATTAACCCCTCTTCCACATCTCTGTTGGAACTTGAAAACAAATCAAGTCAATATTGGAGGGAAATTAAGCAGTGTGTTTTAATATTTAAATGCTGCATTGTTTGTAATGTCTATATGATGTAAACTTCTCTGAATTAATGTAAATTATTGATATTTTCGTTACAAAGTTTTTTAGATGATTTCAGATAGCATGAAATCATTATTTTGTTATTCAGTAAATAAATAAATTGTTAGGTATTTTGGTGCAAATTGTATTATCATTTTTACTGGAAATGTACTTAAAATAGTTACAGGTTCCTCTGGTTAAATTTAAATAGCTATTTTGAGATGTTAGTTAACACAAAAAAAAAAAAAAAAAAAAAAATGTACAGTGGAAGATTCTCAATTGTTTTAGATTTGAATAGCTAGTAACCTAAGGTATTGAAAATTATCGTAAGTTTTAAAAGATTCACTGGTAAACTTGGAAACAAGTAGAAATGGGACTTTACAATGCAGTTGAACTTGTAAAGACACAAGAGGATTGGATAAAGTATGAGCTCTTGTGTACCCTTCTGAATTAGAATATCTTAAAGGTAAGAAATTTCTAAGGAAACCTATCTTTTTCAGCTAGCCCCCATTTTTAGATGAAAATGCTGCTTTGCGTGAGAGAGGTAGGCTAACATTTGCTGTATTCCACCATCACAAAGACCGTAAAAACAGTGCCCGAACCTGAAATACAAGTCCCTAATATCAACTGAATTTTCTACTGAGTGTGTTACCTGAAAAATTAGTTTTCAGACTTCAACTTCAGGAAACTGAATCAGCATCTGTACTCTGAAAATAACGATAAATTTTTCTGTAAATATTAAAAAAACAAATACTATCTGGATACAGTCACTGGTGACGCTTGAGCTCACAATCTTTGTCTCTGCAAGCCAGCATTTGAACCGTTGGGCAACAGGAGCAACCTTAACTTGATGTAGATAGGTTTTAAGAAAAATTCAAAATCAGTGTGCATTCTGCCTCGTCTTGCCCCGAAGCAGTTAACTTCTTTGGAATTATCCAGAAGATATTTAGCTTCTTTGCCGGATTTACTATTCGACGGGATATTACGAAAAGATGTACAATAACAAACTTAAAAGGAAGCAGCCAGACGAGATGGTTGGCAAAATAAATGGCCCTTCTAACGAATTTACCAGAAGTAGTAAAATCTTTGAAAGAAATTAATTATTTTTCTCTTAGTGCAAAATCAAAGTATGACTCAGGACATCTGCTATATGGTGTAAAAGTTTGAATTTATTATCAGTACAGTGGCCAGGGAAGCATCTGTATACCTTGCAGAGCATGTTGGCAGATGCGAGCACTATTTGGTCGGGCGTTATCCTGCTGAAAACGTGCATTAGGCAGCCCCTGAATGTAGGGGATTGCCACCGGCCCCAGTACATTATCCAGGTATCATTGAGACGTCATATGCCTTGAATACGAACTAGAGGTGACCTGGAATCGTAGGCAATAGCGCCTCAAACCATTATGCCGCGATGGGGCGTTCCACAGTTACTACCGGATTAGATCTGTCTCCACGTCGACGCCACACACGTATGCGGGGACTGTCACTGGATAAACAGAAGCGTGACTCATCTGAGAACACGATGTTTCGCTATTCTGTCATCCACATCGCTCCAGTCCGGCACCATTCTAAACGTTGGCGTCCATGCTGTGCGGTCAAAGGCAGTCTTCTTAACGGACGCCGTGAGTGCAAGCCACGTTCAGCCAATCGACGGGAAATGGTTCTGGTCGACGAGGGAACATCCAGGGTATCTTGCACATGCTGCAAAATCGCGTTACAAGTGACTTGGAGGAAGTACAAGAACCGCCACAGCTTGTCGCGGATGCGTCGATCCATGCGTGCTGACGGCACTCTGGCTGCCAGGGTTCGTACGGTCCTTAAGAGTCCTTACATTTTTTTAAATCGATTTTTGGTCCTTAAAAGTCCTTAATTTTGGACAAAATCAATAGAAGGTCTTTAATTTTAATCATCTGAAATTTCTGTTTGTACGACTGACATTTTGAGTGTGGATTAGCATTTTGGAGGAATATTTTTGGCGATTCACCGATGTATATGGCTATCTTTTGAATAGGTTCATGGGTTATAATTTGTTTTTATTTCTAATGTAAATGATGGGATACTCGAGTTTCTAAGCAAGAAGTGAAACATAAGCATTTCAAAATTCATTTTTTCTAATAAAGAGCTCTTAAACAACTTTTTGCTTTGGGGGTTTGTGAATTCTTTTATTAAATGGTTCTAAATTTGACAACTTGTCAACATATTGGCGATTTAAAATCAGTTTCTATAGAAAAATTTTAGTTTCGAGATCTGAGAATTTTTCGGCGGTTTTTTTAAAACATCATAACATTGATAAATTTCATTAAAATAATGGTAATATATTCGAATTATATTTAAAAAATAACATTAAAATAAAACATTTTTATTTTTCACGGTCATATTATAAAGTTTCATTTTGGCAGCATATTATGCAATATTTTAAATCTGTAGCTATAAAGCATAATTTACGAAACAGCTACTTAGTAAAAGGAAAATTAGCTATGTAATTAATTAAAATGTCTTCTTTTTAATTTTTTCATATTAAGCGTTTTTCCCATGTCTCAGATTATTCAAAATTCTCAGAATATGTATCAGTTTTTCTCTATAAAATTAATTTTACACTTTTTCCTTCCTTTTTTTCCCCAAAATATATTGTCTTTTTGCTGTTACAAAATTGGTTGGGATAATTTTTCTTTAGTATTTTTGACATTGCAGCATGGAAAGTTTAGAAGGATTTGCAGGCAAGATTTATAGACCCACGATTCTAGAAGATTCGAGAAATATGTGACAAAATGTCTCCATGGTATCAACATGTAATGGATGCATTTTACAGAAAGTTTACGATGAATTTCTTACTTTTTGGAGAACGTCTGGAAGAACAATGGAAACATAATATTTCAATGTTTTACTCCTGATACTAGAATATTTTTCCTTAACATGTTTATCTTCCCTTTATTTTCTCTACTTTTCACTAGACAAAAGCATGGAAAATATCAAAAACGCTTCTAATCTTATCACTTGGGCAGGCATTATAGAAAGAGATTTTTTTATTAGTAAAGAAATTGAGATTCATCTAATATGTCTAAATGCATCGTACACAGGACTGTTGCTATGCATTTTCCCACCTGATGCAATCTCTGTGTATCCTAATTTCTGCTGCCTAGTGGATATCTAAATTCTGCTTCCAATGCCTGCTCTAAATTTTAAAAGTTTTGCCATTTCTAGATTTTATTGTTCTATGTGTCACTAAATTCTAAAATTTCTACCACAACAGCTCTGTAACCGGCCTTTACCATATATATTTCCTATTTCTTCTGAATGTTCATATTACTAAAGAAATAAAAGTAGCCGCTTTTTCTGTACATTCTAAATGCATTAGAATAACAGAAATCATTCATCAAATCCAAAAATTCTAAAATTAAAAGGAAACACGTTGAAGAAAGAAATCGAATACATAAAGAAAATTATTCTTCATAGATATGTGCAGTTATTATTATGTAAATTACCCAATTGTTTATGATTTCAGCCTTTACTATAACTTCCCATTTCTGTGCCGTTATGTTCTTTGTCTGATATTGTAGTTGCTTTCAGACACAGTGACAATTTGCTTCACGTCTATCGGGAGGGTTGGGACTTTTTTAACTTTTACCAGATCAAGTAAACCCTCATAGGTACATTGTGGAGAGGTTGACAAGTTAGGAGATAAAGCACACAGAAACTAGCGAGAACATTGGTTTGCATATTGAGACAAAATTTCTAATTATTGTCAGAAAAGATCGATAATTAAAGAGAAGAAAATCAATATAAATTAGCCAAAATATTTGAGAAGGTATGTAGAGACATTAGGTATTTTTGAAAGCAGGAAAGATAAAAAATTAACAACGCCTTCGCCGGGAATCGAATCGCGGACCCCTGGAATACCGGCCCAGTGTGCAAATCACTACACCACGAAGGGTTGCCAAGAAGGTGGGAGAAATACCTTATATACTCTCCCTTTTAAAGGGCGACTGGGATTTTTAGTTGATACAATTGCCAAATCCTGGGTGTGGAGAACCATCATCCAACACCCTTTCAGTTCGAGCGCCATTGTAGAGACATTAGGTGTTTTTGAAAGCAGGAAAGATGGAAAATAATAACACCTTCGCCGGGAATCGAACTGCGGACCTCTGGAATACCGGCTCAATGTGCAAACCACTACAAGAAGGTGGGAGAAATACCTTATATGCTTCAAATTAAAATGATGGATAAATATTTTGTTGAGTGTTGTTGTATGTGTAATTATCCAAATATCGTTTAAGAATCAATGTCATAAATTACATGTATTTTAAACTGCGAAATTTTATTAGATTTTGATTTTAATAGGGCTTTTTTTAACAAATATTGTTAATATTGTTAAAAAAATAAAATTTAGTAGTGGCCATGTAAATCCATAATGACTAAGGTTATCTAATTACTTAATTTAATTATTTATAACTAATTACTTACCCTTAAAAATTATCTCTGCATATTAAAGCGAGTTATTGCCTTTCATTAATACTCACTGTGGTCACATGATAAAACACAAAAATGTAAAAATTCAAA